ACACACACACACACATGTATATATATATTAAGATTATCTTCCTCTTGTTATTTGCACCCTTAGAGTATATATTTGTCATAAAATCATAATCATGTTTAAAGTCATCTTTTTGTCTAGTTCCCATGTTTAAAGTTATCTTTTTGTCTAGTTCCTAGTGACTAGCCTGTAATGATTGCTCAGTGAAGAGTATCAATGGAAATTTATTGTGCTTTATTTGGATTCTGGGTATTTATCCTGTGCATTTTTTGCTGCTATGTATTTGGTCTAAAAAAGTTTTTTTTTCACCTGATGGAAGTTGATGGACCTCTCAGACATAGCTTAGAAATAAGATTTGTTTATATAATTCATATTTCTCATGTTTGCTTAATTGCTTTTGTCATTGTGAAAGTATTGAAATGCATATACTAGCATATCTTAGAAATAATCTAAATATTAGTGGGAGAATAATTTTCCACAGTACTACATATATATTTTACATAATTGCTGATTCATTCATTAGTACATTCATATTATATAATTTAACATGACTTATAACCACAGGGAGTCTCTAAAAAATCCCTCTTTTATAGACTGACAATCAAAAATGCTTAGGAAAATATTGAATATAATTATTTGGATGCTAGAAAAATTCTAGGATTCATGAGACCATCATGAGACCTTGTATACTTTGTTTTCTTAGAATCAGATATAAACAAATTGATAAACTCCTTTTGAATGGGTGTTTATTTAAAATCTATCTTTAACCCTGGCTGGGTGACTTGGTTGGTGGGAGCATCATCCCATACACTAAAAGGTTGTTGGTTTGATTCCTGGTTAGTGCATATACCTAGGTTGTGGGTTCAATCTCTGGTCGGGTGAGTATGGGAGGCAACCTATCGATGTTCTTTCTCACATCTATGTTTCTCCTTTCTCTCCCCACCCCCCTTTTCTCTAAAATCAATAAAAAACGTATACTCTGGTGAGGATTAAAAAAAATCAATTAAAAAAATTAGTTATATTAGAATACTAATAATACATGCTAGTGAGTTTTTAAATTACTTAGAATTTCTCCTTTAAATAACCCAGTTGTCTAATTTTAAGAGATATTATCTCTATTAAAATGAAAGCCTAAATTTATAACTAGTTTTAATAGAAAATTTACTAGATTTAATCCAAGCTTGCAGGCATGAAAATAATTAACCATGGCAAAATTTTGAAAACTTTCCCAAACATAAGTTTAGAGACAGTCATAAATTTGATACTTATTTTTTAAATAGCCATTTATTTATTTTGTACATTGTTAAAGATTTAGCAAATCAGAAAGGTGGAAAATTTAAAAATAATTATAAAATATAAAGTTGATTCTGGATCCTAAATGTAAATAATATAGTGTTTGGTTTCTTGAAGCCTTCCTAGTTTTCTAAATTTGCACATTAATGAATCAGGTAATACGATTAAGTAGCAAACAAATGCAGAAGACAATGTAATGTGTCCTTTTTTTTTATTTAGTAATGCTACAGCCTTTTGACTATGATCCTAATGAAAAGAGTAAACACAAGTTTATGGTACAGACAATTTTTGCTCCACCAAACATTTCAGATATGGAAGCTGTGGTAAGTATAGAAATTGAGCAGAATTTATTTTGGGGAATGTTGTTTAAACTGTGGGTTTAGTTCCCAATTAGAAATCTAATTTAAAAAAATCTGTACATCTATTTATTATAGATAATCCTAACTGTAACAGTGAAAGAATTTTGAAATAATATTTTTTAGAAACAATTTAGAAATGCTCCTAAGAAGAAAGTCCTGTAATTGCTATAGAGATATTAGTGGTGTGATTTCAATGGATGGTGATAGTAGCTCTTCTTAGGATTATTCAGAAGTTTCTGTGGCATTGCCAGATAACTATGGCAGGGTGGTTAATACAGAGTGCAATGCAGCATTGCATCTTGGCTGAGCCAAAGACAGCACTCCTGTTCTAAGCAGCTATGCTAATCTTTTAGTTATCCCTTGAGATGAAACCTATTTGTCACGGTCATATCTCTACTGTCTCATGTTTGGTTTTATTTGTTTTTAGTGGAAAGAGGCAAAACCTGACGAATTAATGGATTCTAAATTGAGATGTGTTTTTGAAATGCCCAGTGAAAATGATAAATTGGTAAGTAAGAAAATCGGAAGCTATTAGCAAGCTCTCAGTTCCTTTTAGATTAATTTTCCTTTTGTTTTGACCTTTGTGAGGTATGTAGTAATGGCTATTCCACTTTATAAGAAGAATCAGTACTTAGTTTAAAAAAACCCCACAAACTTGAAATACTCTTTTCATTTTAATAATGTTTGTTTAAGAAGAAAAATACGTTTAGATTGAAGCTGCATGATGGAGAAGAATAATTCTACCAAAATTTTTCCACTTATATGATTTGAAATTCTTTTTAGAATTGAGGCATTTGTATATATAAATATAATTAAGTAACAGATGTAAACCACTTTTTGGCAACAATATACCAGCAATCTGAGTATAAAATGTTTAGTTTACATGGACAAGCAGTTTATTCCAAGTTTGGCTATTCCTAGGTATTTTGCTTAGTATTGATTTTGGTCAAAATCCATTTGATTTTCTTTTTTCCTTACTGTAAGTTTATTGTAAGACAATTTATAAATATCTTGCTGTCTTTAATCTGATTTTATTCTTTAACGTAAGTAATTTTTATGCTGCTTTTTGATTAGTGTGAGGTAAATATAATTTGGGGGACTGAGGGATATATGCGTGTAGTCTAAAAAGTCTTTGAATGTATAGAATGGTTGTGGTCACTTTTTGTGTTCCCCTTCTGAAATGTAAATTTGAACCTATCTGACTGTAGGGGGCTTGAAAGGTAAGTTGGGTTTTTTTTGGGGGGGAGGGTGATGACTTAATATATAAAATAATATGAGTAAATAGAATTGTTTGTCACAATTAGGTTGCAATGTGATACAACTATTGCCTTGATTTGGAGGTTCTTTGCCCTGTTGATAAGTAAATTTGCAGATTAAATACATAGGCTCGATTATTTTGTTACTCTTTTACATTAAGTTGAAATGAAAAAGTCACTGAATGGTGATTAGGTGTTGATCAAATTATTTATTTTGTTTTAAAATGCCTTTTAAAAGGGATTTTGGGATATTTACCTGAAACAAAAAATGTGAATGCATATATTCTTACTGGAGAGTGAGGGTTAGCATGTTTATGCTTTCCTTTTGGAATTTATTTTCTCTCTGCTTAGGCTGCCAGTAAGTCAATAATTTGCAAAGTTCTTATTAGAACCAAGAAAACACGACAACATTGTCTGGGTTGACTAATTTCATTTTATTTTTTTCCAGTTTTGAGATATAATTGACATACAGCACTATATAAATTTAAGCATGACTGGTATATATTGTGAAATGATTGCCTCATTAAGCTTAGTTACCATTCATTATCTCATACAAATGCAAAAAGAAAGTTTTTTCTCCTTATGATAAGAACTCTTAGGATTTACTTTCTTTTTTTTTTTTTTTTTTTAAATATATTTTATTGATTTTTTTTTTTTTTTTTTTTTTTACAGAGAGGAAGGGAGAGACACATCGATCAGCTGCCTGCTGCACACCTCTTACTGGGGATGTGCCCGCAACCAAGGTACATGCCCTTGACTGGAATCGAACCTGGGACCCTTCTGTCCGCAGGCTGACGCTCTATCCACTGAGCCAAACTGGTCAGGGCAGGATTTACTTTCTTAACAATTTTCAAATATACCATGTAGCAGTGTTAACTATAGTCATCATGTTGTACATTATATCCCCAGTTCTTATTTATCTTACAATGGAAGTTTGAGTATCTTTTGACCAAGTTTCCCTTCCCATTTCCCACCTCTAGTAACCACAAATCTGATCTCTTTTTCTATGAGTTTATTTTTTTTATGAGTTCACATATAAGTGAGATCATACAGTATTTGTCTCTCTCTTATTTCACTTAGCATAATGCCCTCAACGTCCATCCATGTTGTTGCAAATGGCAAGATTTACTTTTTTTTGGTTTTATGGCTGAACAATATTCTGTAATGTGTAGATACACCACAACTTTTTAATCCATTTTTCTGTCAACGACCACTTAGGTTATTTTCATGTCTTTGCTGTGATAGATCATGTCTTTGCTGTGATAGATAATGTTATATAAACATTGGGATGCAGATATCTTTTTGACGTACTGCTTTTGTTTCCTTCAGATATATTCCAAAAAGTGAAATTCAGTGGAATATGGGTCGACTTATTTTAAATACATGTTTTTTTTTTAACAATCTATATATATAAAAGCCTAAGTGACCGGCTGACCCTTCCACCGTTCGACTGGTAGCTATGATCCACACTGACCACCATGGGGCAGATGCTCAGCGCACAGGCATGGAAACATGGAACAGACTGATGAATCTCAGAGGGAAGCGGGGGGGGGGGGTGCTGGGAAGAGATTAACCAAAGGTCTCATAAGCATACTAGAGGCCCGGTGCATGTGGGGTCCCTCAGCCTGGCTGCGGGGATCAGGCCAAAATTGGCAGTCTGACATCCCTGAGGGGTCCTGGATTGCGAGAGGGCGCAGGCCAGACCGAGGGACTTCACCGGTGCATGAATCTGTGCACCGAGCCTCTAGTCATTTAATAAACTTAGAGCTGTCTTTAATCTGGACTTCTGTTATGCTCTGGATAGCAGAAAATTTGAGATTATAGTGTGAAAGGGGTTGGAAGTCAAGTATTTGATATTGCTGATCAAGAGTAGTTTTCACTGCTTTGGAAACCAAACCAGAAGTTGATGGAAATGGTAATTGATCCTAGCTATTTAATCTTATAGAGCTGAGTAGGAGATATATCTACATATAGATGTAGCCCATAGTAATCCAAGAAAGCGGTTTGGGATCTGCTAAAGGCCTTGAATAAATACTGAATGTAGTCCCCGGAGTCCCACACCATGGAACATGAGCAGAAGTAGTTTGTTCCTGGAACATTTTTAGACCAGGTATTATTAATAACCCAAAGTCAGTTCAGTAATTTCAAAGTACTCCAGAGAATATCTGATTTTGAGCCTTGGATGAACTAGCTGCAGATTGTATTTGCACTAACTGAACTACTTGGACTTGAGGTACAGTTATTGACTAAGTTGTAGGGAATATTTGTTGAAGATAATGTTTTATTAACATTTTATTTTAACCCTTATAACAGTAGACAGTACAGTGAATCCCTATGAACCTATGGCCAGTTTTAACAGTTACCACTTTATTGTTAATTTTATCTAAATTTCACTACTTCGAATCTCACATTGTTTTAAGGCAAATTCCAGATGTGATATAACTATTTCAGTATGTATCATTCAAGTACAGTGACTTTAATAAAAGGGAAAACAGTTTATTGACAATACTACCATCAAGCCTTTAAGCTTAACACATTGTGGATGGGTCACGAGAATTCTCGCTTCATATTACACATGGTTTTACAAAGTATTATACTTTAAAAAGATATTAGCTTGTACGAACATGTAATAAATAACTTCAAAATGCAGTGGGTATTTAAAGTGTGCCTTTAACATTTGTGTAAAACGTTTTTTTGTACTCATTCAATAGAAACTTATATGGCCACTGGGTAAAGCTAGCAATAAAACTACTGGTAGTCCACAATGTGTTAATATGTTCTTAATATCAGACAATCCAGGCAGCATTCAAATTAATCTCACAAATGCATTTAAAATTTTTGGCAGTTTTTTGGAATTTATTTAAAAGTAAAGTCCACATACTGCTGTTGGATATGTTTCTTAAATCTTTTAATCTATGGACTTCCTCTCTGTTTTTCTCTTGCAAAGAAACTGAATTTGTCCTATACACTTTTCCCCACAGACTAGATTTTGCTGATTGCATCCTTGTGATGTCATTTAACTTTTCTGTCTTCTTATTTCCTATAATAGATCTAGAGGTTTGATTAAATTGAGATTTAATTTTTGCTGGTGGGGAAAGGCAAAGACAACTTTGCAAGTATTGACATATTTTCTTAAGGAGGCTCATAATGTCTTTTGTTGTGTTTGCGAACTTAGCAGCCATTGGTGGGCAACATGCAGATGAGTGATTTTCAGCCAGGGGTGATTTGCGCGGCCCCCCCCCCCCCCCCATTTGTCAATGTCTGGAGACAGTTTTGGATGTCACAATTAACTGAGAGGAGTGGTGCTGTAGGCATCTAGTGGGGAGAGGCCAGGGATGCTACTTAATGTCCTAACAATGCATAGGATAGCCCCTGCAGTGAAGAATTATCAGGCCCAAAATGTTAAGAGTTGAAATTGAAAAAATACATGGTTTAGGTCTATTCATTAAAGTTTTGCATAATAGTGATATTCTGTCATTCCTGCTTCTTTATATTAGTAGAGTACCTGTATGGAGAGAAACTTGTGCCCAAATAATATTTGGTTATTCATCCAGTCATAGTTTATAAAGACAGGATAAATGCCCAAGTCTTTCTCTTCAGTTACAGGCTTTCAAAAAGTGAGTTGGTCATAAGTGTCCCTGTGATATGATATACAGTCAGGCAGCCTCCCATGCTCCTTCAAAGCCTTCCTCCCTCTTTTTCTGTCTTGCTATAAACTTCAGCATATCTGTGTTTCAACTCCTTGCAGTTACTTACTATCATTATCAGTGCTCACATTGGCTAAGTAGGAACCTCATCAGATTGGTTCCTGAGTCCTTTTTACCTTAGTAGTCTTTGGTAATTTCCTTGATGTGTAATATGACAAGGCCTAGACCTGGAATCAGCCATTTCTTCAAGAAGCTTTGGCTCCTTTTAGTGTGAGAGGGTATTTCAAGACCCTATTTTGGGCACTGGGATAAGACATCCCCCGAGTGTCCTGGACTGCGAGAGGCTGCAGGCCAGGCTGAGAGACAAACCCCCCCCCCCCCCCCACGAATTTCATCCACCAGGCCTCTAGTTATTGATAAAAGCTGAATTCTGACTTACACAAATTGATTAAAGGTGACATTCCCCTATTCAAGAAAAATAAATTTCTAAATGTGCAAGATTAACAAAAATGTTAAAAACATTTTTTAGTTTTATAGTATGATTGCTGTATAGTGATTTACTTGATATTTACCTTTATTTTCTTTAGTTTATCTGTTAATATGTTGTAAAAAAAGGTATGTTAATTGAAGCAGAATTCAGTTTATTTTGTGACAGCCTCAGTTTAATATACAAATAAACTCTTTCAGGATGGCATATTTAGTGTTCAGAGCACTGGAGAAGTCCATATTCAGTTAATGGTTTCTTACACATTTATTTTAAAGAGTTGTTCATCAGAATTTAGGATTTAAAATTTAGTTAGTATATCCAAAATAGATAGACATACAGTAGCTATCATAGCTGTTGATACTTTTTTCTCAAAGTTGGCGTAGCGAGCAGGTCTTATACTTTACCATTTTGTTTTTTATGTTAAGCACCCATCCCACTCCCATACCTTCTCTGCCTATAGCTCCTTGCCCACCTTCCTGTACCCCCCACCTCCCTTCCAATAAGTAGATAGGCATTTAATTGAAGTATATAAGTATATCTGTTTGAGGATCTGGATCTTTTTAGGTATGCTATTATTGGACATATGCATGTTCTAAAAACAGTGGAAAAGGCTATGTTATTTTATTGATTTTTGTCAGTTCTTTTAGGACTTTGATATCAGTTATATAAATGTTGAAGTTTTAAGATCAATCTTGTAGAATGAAAAAGGTGCCAGCTTTAGAAGTGTGTAGTGGTTGAGTCCATGTTTTTATTTTTACAGTTTAAAGAAGTTATTTTTTGTAACAGAACAATTCTAATTTATGTGAACCATAATCAGAATGTGGGCTTCTTTTTGGGAAATAGCTGTCTAATTTGGATCATAGATAGAGTTACCTAGGAATCCAAGGACCCTTTGGTTTTGGAATGAAAAGAGGTACTATTAATACTTATTCCTGGATAACAAGTATTAGTTAATACTGCCTTTAAGCACACTGAAATGTGTGGTCTTCCTAGTCCTACAGAACAGCAGGTCTTTGACTGGATATATCTCAGTAAATTAATGGCCCATGGAGTTCAGTTGAGTTATGTTCAGTGCTCATACTGAGAACCATTCAGCATGGTTCTTGGGTTGTAGATAGCAGGAGGCAGATGATACTAAAACATTGACTATTTTATATTTTATAAAGTGGGGCTTTCTGAATTATTAGCTCTTTTTAGTTACTATCAACTCTGTATTAAATCTAATTGCCAGTTAGTAGTAGTGTTTTTTTCAGGATTGAATGTGTCTTTAGTAAACTCCTTTTTTTTTTTTTTTATCATGTTTATCACCTATTCAATTCTTTGGGTTCAATTCTTTTTTTTTTTTTTTGAGACTTGCAACTTTACTTAGCATTTTCCCAATTTTAAGAAATGTATTGGATTTCATTTATGCCCTATATATAAAACATCTGTTAATGACATTTTCTAGGAAAATACAATGATTTTTCTTAATGAAGAATGAAGGGCTGTCAAGAAAAGGTCATTTCAGGGGTCTTTATGTATAGACATTTTATGATTAAATAATACATTCTTTTCTATTGAGACAAAGAACAGATTGGGGAGAGTGCATTATTAAGTAAGATAGAGTTCTTTTAGTTATTATATACAGTAACCTAGATACCAATAAGTATTATTTCAGAGTCTGTTCTAACCCTTTTTTTGGCAGTATTTTTATTTGAGAGGAATTTGAGAAGATAGGAGAATGGAGATAATGATATAATGGAATGCTATATGCATCTTTAAATTTATTTATTGGTCCTGGGAGAGGGAGGTGTGTGTGTGTGTGTGTGTGTGTGTGTGTGTGTGTGTGTGTGTGTGTGTATTTGGGGGGAGCGGTGGTATCATTAAGTACAGGAGAGGTTTATAAACCACTTAGTTTTTTAACTTCAAGGGGAAAAATTCATTTAACTTAAAAAATTGTTCAGGTTGAATGTTATCAAAGGTAAGAAAATATGAAGTGTTTGTTGTTTAGATATTGACAACTATTGATTAGTAAAATTCAGAGCCACAAAGTTAGAAGGTATTCATTTTCAGACATTATGAGGCTAGCATAAATTTAATAAGGTTTACACATTTAATTTGTGAACAGAATACAAATTGATGATAGCTAATTTTGTTTGGGAAATAATCTAAAAAGTTCATAGTTAACATAGTTATTATTTATTACTATTATTTATGTATAACACCTTTTTATAGAATAAAATGTGAATGTTTTAGAGCCTAATGATTTCTGTATTAGTCATTCCCAATACCATGCAGGCGAACTCAGACTTTGGTGTGAATCTGAGAATATGTTTCCCATGCCACCTCAGGGTATAACTCCACCAGGGACTGCTCCAGCTGTCACTTCAATAAGCATCATCAACAAGCCAGTTTCAACTCCTGCCAGTTATAACATGAAGAATGACCCCAGGGGACTCAGTGTGTTCAAACAGGAGAAGCAGAAGGTTTGTTTTAGGGAGTTAACAGACATAGGAGTCTACTAGTGTTAGTAGCTATGTTAATGTAAGTTACCATACGTGGTATTGTGAGTGTATTATGTGAAATAAGTAGAATTGAAATTTTCAACTATGTTTAAAATTACTGAACCACAATTCACTTAAAAATCATGCACACAGACTATTCTCTGTCCTGTAAAAAAACAAATTTAACACTTAATAAAATCTCAGTAGTGAGCAGGATAAATGTAAGTTTGAACATTAATATGAAATTGCTATAATTTTTCCTGTCACTGAGATTTTGGGAGCATCCTCTAAAAAGGGAGTTAGGTGCATATCTGAATAGACAAGCAGGTGTGGCAATCAAGGTAGGAGCTGGCAAACATTGATTTCCAGGCAAGTACTTGTGTTTATATATTTAAAAAGTGAAATTATTTTATGTTTGTTATCAAATACAAATAATAGTAACCCCTTTTTAATTATCATGGTTATTTACAAATGCCCCATGGTAGGAGAATTTGTGGTATAAGCCCTTAAGATCTTAGGTCATACTTGAATTTATTAATGTCTTCGTGTGTGTGTGTGTGTGTGTGTGTGTGTGTGTGTGTGCGCGCGCGCGTGTTGACTTGTAGGTAGTGTAAAGGTTGCTGTATGATTCCTTTAGCATTTCTTGCTTATTGGAAACCCCAGGAACCCCACAGTGAACAGATTTCTTATACTTTGATTTGGCTTTGCAGAGAATATGTTTGGTTTAAAAACATCTTATCCTGCCCTTGGCCGTGTGGCTCGGTTGGAGCGTTGTCCCGTAAACCAAAAGGTTGGGGTTTGGATCCCTGGTCAGCACGCGTAGGGAAGCCAACTAATTGGTCTTTCTCTCACATCACTATTTCTCTCACTCCCCTTTCCTCTCTCTCTAAAATCAATAAACATATCCTCAGGTGAGGACTTAAAATTTGTTTTAAATGATCCTTTATGTCAGTGGTTCTCAACCTTCTGGCCCTTTAAATACAGTTCCTCATGTTGTGATCCAACCATAAAATTATTTTCATTGCTACTTCATAACTGTAATTTTTCTACTGTTATGAATCGTCATGTAAATATCTGATATGCAGGATGGTCTTAGGCGACCCCTGTGAAAGGGTCGTTTGACCGCCAAAGGGGTCGCGACCCACAGGTTGAGAACCGCTGCTTTATGTAAATTTATCATTAGTTATTGATGAACCTAGAGTAACAGAATTGGTTGTTTAGAGTGAAAGTAAATCTTCAGTAACCTTATTATTCAGATACTATCTTTTCCAAGAGTAAGACCTTAATTATGCCTCTGAACAATTTGATGCCTTAGCTCTAGGCTTTAGCTTTTATATATTTACAACCCTTACTCATAATAGTCACAAGAATGAAGTCGCATATTTACATTCTTTAGCTCCCCTGTCCTTCCCAAGACTTCATTGCAAAAGCTACTTTGCTTTATATTTTACCTTTCCCGAGTTCCTATCCCTAGCTCATTCTTGTCTAATTACCCCCAATAGGAATTACTTAGAATATTGGAACTGAAAGTTGTTTAAAAAAAATACAGAAGTAAATTCATCTCACAGATGGAGAAGGGATTACTGCAGATAGGCTAAATAATATAAAACAGTGGTAAAAGTACAAGGTAGTGTACATTTTCTTAATTGGTATCATGGCCTTGGTTTTTTAGTTTATTCTAAGTTACAGCATTAAATATAATGTTAATATAATGTTACTATTCATCAATTTCCTAAGTGTTGCAGCATGTTGTTGAATCCCTCTAGTTTGCCTTTTTCATGGTTCTCAGAACAACCAATCTCCACTTTCTGGACCAGTCTGAAGCAACTCTCAAGAACAAGCTGTTTTCCTGGAGCCAAACCTCAGTAATGGAGCTCCTGAATGGAAGCATATACTTACAGTCACAGCAGCCTTAGTGTTTCCCATCAGGCTCTTCAGATTGTTACTACATGAATGACTCAGCCCACCCCTCCTTTTAATCCCCAACTAAGTTAGGTTATATATGCTTATATTTCAAATATACATAAATAAATTAGATTTCTTTACATCTCTTATGTATGTTGACTGGTTTGTAGGGGCCCTAAATAGTACATGATACAATTGTACTCCATGTAACTTGTTCCATGACTGACTTGGCTCACTTTTGAAATGTGTTTAAGCTTCACTGTATCTGTTGCATTCCTAGTCTTAGGTTTATGCTCCACAAATTGGTTATGACATTTCTTCTTTTGGTTATAAATGCAATATAACAACATTAAGGAAAATTTCAATAGAAAAGGAAATCTAATTCTGTAAGAAGATATTTATTGACACGTTATTTAAATCCCAAAGAGTGGGAAGCTACCTGTTAAATATTCCAAAGAGTGGGAAGCTACCCATTAAATGCCTGAGTGAAATGTTTAACCCTTTTCGGTCCAACGTGGAGGCTGACTCGACAGATCAGGCGCTAGGAGCAGGTAGGTCCAACGTCAAGCTGAGGTCTAGTGAGACAGATAACTTCAACATTCGATCCCGTCAATTAATTTGGACCAGACTGTTCGAATTCCAAAAATAAAATTGGACCGCAAAGGGTTAAGTAAATTTTTTAAAAAAATGTATTTTATTGATTTTTTACAGAGAGGGAGAGGGATAGAGAGTTAGGAACATCGATGGGAGAGAAACATTGATCAGCTGCCTCCTGCACACCTCCTACAGGGGATGTGCCCGCAACCAAGGTACATGCCCTTGACCGGAATTGAACCTGAGACCCTTCCGTCCGCAGGCCGACGCTCTATCCACTGAGCCAAATCGGTCAGGGTGGGTTAAGTAATTTTGATAAAGCACAGTATAGAATACTTAATGACATATGTTGTCATTTAAAGTAAAAAAAGATATGCATATAATTGAATAAAGAGATTAAAATATTACATGTATGCTGGTTTTACAAAATTCGTATGAAAAAATATTGGAAGATAGCATGAATAATAGTTGGGTTGATGAGATAATTTGAGGTAATTTGTCTCAATTCTAAATTTTCTGAAATTTCAAGAATTTATTTAAAATAAAAATCCAATTGTGAAGAGTTTGGCAAGTCCTCATAATTTTTTTCTCTTCACTTGTTGGTCTCATGAATCTCCTTTTAATTTTTTAGGAAACTTTTTGGTACGAGCATGATATTTTTTTACCAATTCTTAACCAAAACCTAAAGATTTCTCAGTTGTGATATTTTTGACTATTGCCTTTTTTACAGAGGAAGGTAACATGCTACCCTCATTTTCAGAAGTTGGACTTGTTGTAGGTTGGAATTTGAACACACTTGAAAAATCATTTTAAAATATAATTGCTGTTAAGGAAAAGGATAGGAAATAATATGGGTAGAGAGCAAAATATATCTGAAACATTTTTCATGATAGAGATGGAATTGGTTGGGGATAGGGAATGATAAGGTGAAGAACAAGAGAACTAGCTAGCAAGTGAAAAACTCAGAGAAGAAAATTAGAGTAGCCTTCTTGAAATAATCACAACTGTGAAGCTTCTAAGAAAAATGGGAAAAAATCCAGGTCAAATACTATTTACATTTACAGCCTCATTATAACAATGTTTTACACGGATTTAGGCATAATGATCAAATCACATCCCTTTTATAAAAACATACTAGTTTTGCTCCTTGAACAATTTATTTGCACTTAATATAAATTCAGGAGCTGGGATGATTTGATAGGTATGTAATTTATAATTAAAATCTACATGTATGCTGCTTTTACAAAATGCGTATGAAAAAATATTGGAAGATAGCATGAATAATGGTTGGGTTGATGAGATAATTGGAGGTAATTTGCTCTCAATTCTAAATTTTCTGAAATTTCAAGAATTTATTTAAAATAAAAATCCAATTGTGAAGAGTTTGATAATTCAAACTCATTAGTACTGTGGAATGCCATAAAGTTGATTTAGAAATACTTTTGTTAGAAGTTTATATCTGAATAAAACAGTTTGTTTTTTAATCTAAAATTAAATTTTAATCAAATAAAATTGTAATTAAAAAGATGACTAGCACTAATATTGTTATGTTGTAGTGATAAGATAAATGATGTTAGGATTGAAGGATATCGAGGCACTTGAGATCACAGGCTCAGGAGTACTTAGGTACAGTACTGCTTTAGATATTTACCTTCATGCTTTTGCCACTAGTTTCAAATGGATAAGTGTTGGTAAGAATTACGATTTTGGGGGCTCATAATTTTAAAAGTGTCTATGTACTGTGATTCCATATTGAATTTTGCGAATTAAAACAGTGATATTATTTGAAAGAATCATTTATGTTTGAGTTTAAAGATCATGGAATTAACTCCCTTCCTCCTCTTTTTTTTTTTTTTTTTTTGCCATGATATGTTTGTGTTCAGTATCTCCCCTTGAAGGTTTATATCCTTCAGTCATTTTTTCTCCTTTAATTGAAGTTAGGTTTTTTTTAAAAAAAATGTATCTTTATTGTTGAAAGTATTAAAAATGTCCTCCCCCTTCTTCCTCCTATTGATCCCCCCCACCCTGTCCCTGCTCCTTCCCCAGGCCTTCACCACACTTTAGTCTGTCCATAGGTTATGCATATATGCATATAAGTTCTTTGGTGAAGTTAGGTTTTCAAATGTTTTTCTTTGATAGTTTCCTAATCTTATTGGAATGATTATGATATCCCCCGTCCCCTCCCAGAAACTCATTTGAATTGCAGAATCGGAGCACTGAAAATGACCTTGCTATTTGCTTCTCATCATTCAACATACTTTCATTGAATAACTACTGTTGGTCAAAGTGCTGGGTTAAGGGGTAAATATAAAGAGAAATGACTCTTGCTCTTCCAGTCTTTGAAGTATTGTAGGAAGGAACATAAAAAATACATTATTATGATATATGATAAGTCTTTGGTAGAGGTAAGTGCAAGGGGTTATGGGAGTAGAGGAGGGAGTGGGCTTATTTGCTTATCTAACTAACATTTACTGATTTAGTCCTTCTAAAATTGCTCACAGGTGACCATAACATTCGCTATCAAAAAAATTCTTAATTGAAAATTGTCAAAACTTTTAAGTAATTTTTTTGAAAAGAAGGTTGTGGAGCTTAAATTTTATTTGTTTAAAACCAGTAAGGAGATTTGGTCAGTTAAAAAAATTTCCACTGTCTTTGTAATACAGAATGATATGGAACCTAGCAAAGCTGTTCCACTGAATGCATCTAAACAAGATGGACCCATGCCAAAACCACATAGTGTTTCACTCAATGACACTGAAACAAGGAAACTCATGGAAGAATATAAAAGACTTCAGGGAGAAATGAAGAAGCTATCAGAAGAAAATCAAAACCTGAAAGTAAGTTGTTTTTTGAAAATAAGTTGATTTAAATGAAGGCATAGGATATGTGAATATTATTAGGCCATCTTATCTATCAGTTTTTAAATTTATCTTTGGTCATTTCTCCCTGCCCTCCATTTTTTTCCCTCCAATTTGATTATAGGATGTCCTGTACTTTGTTCTCCACTCCCAGCCTCTTTTGACAGTTTTACCGTGACTTCTCATTTTTCTAGGCATTGCTAGCTTCCTCTCTTGTTTGTACTCTTCACATTCTGTGCCCCAGTCATATGAATTGCCTGCTGCCCATAGATTAGCCAGCCACTGGTCATCTGGGGCTGTTGAGCACTTGAAATGTGGTTAATTTGAATTGAGATGTGCTGTGAGTGGAAAATACACACTGATTTCTTAGACTTAATTCCAAAAAAGTTAAAATATATCTTTTTTTGTTACATTGTTACATATTGAGATAATATTTCAGTTATATTGGGTTGAATACAATATATTATTAAAATTAATTTTGCCAGTTTATTTTTATTTTTTTAACATGCTACTAAAATTTTTAAAATTACATATGTGGCTCACATTTGAAGTTCAAATTATATTTGTATTGGGCAGTGTTGGGCTACAGTTTCCTGAAGAATCCTCTCTGTTTTATTATCCCTCTTTTGCTTTAGCTTAAGTTCTTCCCTCTGACTGGAATGCCTTGAATTCTTGTCCCTACCCTCGCAGCAAAGACATGCATTTTCATCTCTTGGTACTTGTTTCTTGTCATCTTGTTAGTATAACCTTTTGTAGGATACTCTCCTTCCAAAACAACAACAACAAATAAAGAAAAATTGTTTAGGAATGCTATCTCCTTTGTTTTCATCATACCTGTTACTTGTTGGAGGTGTTTCTTTTGTGGGCAGTAGTTTCATTGGGGGCAAGGATTATGTGGATTCATCTTTGCATTCATGGCACATGCATATAGAAGTCATGAGTAGATTTGAATGAGTAAATGAATGGACTGGTGAATTGAGGACTAGTTTGAATATGTATGGAATTTATTAATAATTAGTCTTTCACAAGTAATTATTTCAAGATTTGAATACCTTTAAATTTCTTTTTAAGGCTTTGAGCTTTTTGTATCAAAGTAGATGATACAAAAATGTATGAGTAAATAAGCTAAATTATGGAACTTAATCTACATTTGGTTATTCTGTTAAGTGTTATAAAGGAACTTTCTTTTACAAATATATATTTTTATTGATTTCAGAGAGGAAAAGAGCGGGAGAGAGAGAGATAGAAACATCAGTGATGAGAATCATTGATTGGCTGCCTTCTGCACGCCCCCCTGACTGGGGATCGAGCCTGCAACCCTATGTGCCCTGATCTGGAATCGAACCGTGACCTCCTGGTTCATAAGTCAACGCTCAGCCACTGAGCCGGGCACATAGGAACTACTTGAATCAAAGGCAGTAGATCTTGAATTGATACGTGTTGAAATAATTTTTCTGGCTATCTTTTCATATTCCTTAGTATCCCCTTAGGGACCCCACCCTACCCCCACCACCTGTCTGGATAGTGGAAAAATTATCTCCATTTCATATTCACGCATGCAGTTTTTGTTACTTTTACTTTGTCTGCCATGACTTGTACAGTTGTGTTCTTTGATGAAAGTTGTGTTCCTTAGCATGCTCAGTGTATTTGTTCAAAAAACCACTGTTTATTTCTTGGCAGGGAGAAGAGAAGTGGGAATGGTGGGTAGGAGGGGCACAGGTAGGGCAGGGCTGGAAAATAGGAAGAGTGAACAGGGAGATAGGTGAGTGAGACCTAATTTCTGGTCTCAGCTCTTTTATAGGCTGATGTTCTCTAGGAGATGTTATTTGAAAAAGCATTCTGCTGTCTAGAAGATAAAAGACAGATAAAAGGACGACCACTGGCTTATAGAATCAATTTCAGGCTTTCATACATAAGGCCCATCACAATTTGGTGCCAGATTAACCCTTGATATCTCTGATCAGCATCCTTCCCTCCATTTTTTTAAAATTCTCACCCAAGGATATTTTGTTCTATTAATTTTTAGAGAGAGCGGAAGGAGAGGGAGGGAGGGAGGGAGGAGAGGAAGGGAGGGAGGAGAGGGGGAGAGAGAGAGAGAGAGAGAGATATTACCTCCCTCATGCACCCCAACAGGGGCCAGAGATTGAACCTGCAATTAAGATACGAGCCCTTGAATTAAGATACGAGCCCTTGACTGGGAATTGGAACCTCTGAGACCCTTCCATCCATGGACTGTTGCTTTAACCACTGAGCAAACCAGTCAGGGCTGGTCACTACCCCATTTTATGCTATCTCTGTGATTCTTAAATCTGTCCCTTATCTGAATCTCCCAGAGAGCTGTTTAAAAATGCACCTGGCCAGCCCCTCCCCAGACCTCATGAATCAGAATCACTTAGAAACATTTAAAAAAAAAATTCTTTATTGATTTCAGAGAGGAAGGGAGAGGGAGAGTGAGATAGAAACATCAGTGATGAGAGAGAATCATTTATTGGCTGCCTCCTGCACACCCCCTACTGGGGATTAAGCCCACAACCCGGGCATATGCCCTTGACTGGAATTGAACCTGGGACCCTTCAGTCCGCAGGCTTACACTTTAGCCACTGAGTCAAACCGGCTAGGACAGGAACATTTTTTTAAGTTCTTGCTAGGAATCACTATTTTTCCACACAGGGCTAATTAGCATAATATCAAAAATACACACAAACCCTCAGAAAAATCTAGTAATGCAAATAAAAAGGTATGACATCAGGTGAACTCATTTACTTGGTACACTAGAGGAATTAGTGTGAGAAAATAAAAATAAGCTTGCTCTGAGGAAATAAAAATGTGCCTTGTTATTCATTTGGTTGACAAAGCCAATTGCCTAGGTCCCAAGTACAGATATCAGTATTTTCCACGAGGTCATACTGCAGCAGATAAAGTGCCATAACAACCTCCTACTTTGAGTGACTACTGCTGTCTTACCGAGAAACATTGTCCCCTAAAATCATAGACTGTCAGAAAATTTGCTATGTGAAGCCATCCTAACAGTTAAGAATGAAGCAGCCCACTCTTGTCTGGAGCATCACAGTCACTTTGGTGCAGAGAAGCAGCCTCCCTGTTCAGTCCAGGTGCAGAGCTTTGGATGGGTTTCTTACACAACATGCCACATCTCTTGTAATTTGTAGTTTCTAAAGAAACAGGATTCAGTGTCTACTTTGCAGTTCAGATCCAATGCTGGCTCTTTTACACACAGCCCTTCTGCTTGGAGCATATCAAAACACTATATTATATAAATTTCATCCTGAACTTGTAAAGGCCTGTCTCTTCAGTGAGATTTTACCTGTGCCTCTGCTATAGGGTGCTCCGGTTGCAATGAGTCAGTAAATCTGTCAGACTGCAAGTTTGTTTCTGGTAGTCTTTGCTGGCGGTGCTAGGACAGGTGTAACCAATGTAAAAATACTATGGGCCACCTTGGAAATAAGTGCATGCACAGAACTCCTTAATTTATTAATTTTAATGGGGTTTTTCCTTCTATGTAAATACAGCCATATCTGATTTTTCATGCTTTTAAGATAGTATTTCTTAGCTTCAGTTTTTAAAATTGGCATTATCGAGGTATAATTTACATTCTGTAAAGACACTCATTGCGAGTGTACAATTCAATGATTTTAGTAAATTTATAGAATTGGGTAGCCTTCACTAGAAACCAGTTTTAGGTTGTTTGCATCACCCTAGACCAGGGGTGGGCAAACTTTTTGACTCAAGGGCCACAATGGGTTCTTAAACTGGACCGGAGGGCCGGAACAAAAGCATGGATGGAGTGTTTGTGTGAACTAATATAAATTCAAAGTAAACATCATTACATAAAAGGGTACGGTCTTTTTTTTTTTTTTAGTTTTATTCATTTCAAACGGGCCGAATCCGGCCCGCGGGCCGTAGTTTGCCCACGGCTACCCTAGAAACTAGTTTCCTTATACCAGTTAGTTTTATTTCCATCCCTAACCACATTCATACCGATCTGCTTTCTGTCTATTGATTTTTAGCTCAGTAGTCTTATATGCATATTTGTATTTAAAACCTCTTTTTGTGTGTGCATATATTTTTTTTTCTCTAGGATGAAGGCATAAGGCTCAGAAAGGTAGCACACTTGGATAAACCTGGATCGACCTCAACTGCATCCTTCAGAGATAATGTCACCAGTCCTCTTCCTTCACTTCTTGTTGTAATTGCAGCCATTTTCATTGGATTCTTTCTAGGGAAATTCATCTTGTAGAGTGAAGCATGCAGAGTGCTATTTCTTTTATTTTCTCTTGACCAGAAAATGATTTGTTTACCTACCATTTCATTGGTAGTATGGCCCACGGTGACCATTTTTTTGTGTGTACAGCGTCATATAGGCTTTGCCTTTAATGATATCTTACGGTTAGAAAACAATAAATACCAACTTGTTCGGCTACTGGACAAATTGTATATTACCAGATCATCACTAGCAGATGTCAGTTGCACATTCAGTCCTTTATGAAATTCATAAATAAAGAATTGTTCTTTCTTTGTGGTTTTAATAAGAGTTCAAGAATTGTTCAGAGTCTTGTAAATGTTATTTTAATAATCCTTTAAATTTTATCTGTTGCTATTACCTCTTGAAATATGATTTATTTAGATTGCTAATCCCACTCATTCAGGAAATGCCAAGAGGTATTCTGTGGGGAAATGGTGCCTCTTACAGTGTAAATTTTCTCCTTTACCTTTGCTAATATCATGGCAGAATTTTTCTTATCCCTTGTGAGGCAGTTGTTGACTGAGTTTTTCATCCTTACAATCCTGTCCCATGGTATTTAACATAAAAAAAAAATAAAACTGTTAACAGATTCTTGCTCCATAGCTTGTTTGTGTCTGTCGTGTCATTAGATGGGGATACCAGGGAGTCCACTCTATGATAATTTGAAATTTATAATGCATAATTATATCTCGCATTGAAACCCTTTCAGATATTACAATATTTGTAGGTAAAAGTCCTCATTCTATTAAGGAAAGGAATTGGTAAATTTCAAGCTACTTTGGAATTTTGGAAGATCATAATCAGTTTGTCTTCAAGATAATATAAAATAAGCAAATATCATGAGAATAAAAGTGCTGTAATTTTTGTCAGTTTATGTGTATGCCTTGTGGCTCTATTGTGTTTATCCCATTTTAAACAGGTTTTTTTTTTTTTATCTTCTCAAGAAAGACTTGTTCTTGGTTGTTCTAGTCAAGTGCTTTTAATGAGCCTAATAATTCCCTATAAATATTTTGTAAAAAGAGTTAAAAGTAGGTGTTTTTCCTGCCCAATTTGACACTCAAAGTAAATTCCCATTATGGAAATTTGTTATTACTGAGCAAGCCTTGTGAATCTTCTTTGTGAGAAATTCCTTTATTCTTTGCAAATCTGTTAACCATGTGAAACACATTTTTTAGTATAAATATCCATTGTAGGGTTTGAATTTATTTCATTTGTATTAGCATAGAAAATTTTGGAATCATAGAAAATCTATTCAGTTTTTTTTACTGAGTACAATCTAATACAAGTGAATTTTGATCCTGAAAATAGGTGTTGGTTTTGTAAAAGATACACTTCTATCTGAAAGGGAGATTGGACTTTGGGACTTGATGTGGTGCAGTGAAGCGTGTTAGGCCCAGGTCTTTGTATACATTTTATAAATGAGTGAACTGTTCTAAGTATTTTGGTTGCCTCCTCATTTTAAGTGTATTTTGATTTGTCAGACCACATGTATTGTGTCATTGGCTTTGTGGTATCTTCTTATATAGAACCTCTTGCTTATATGCAAAAGGTACTAAAAACAAACACAAGTAACACCTATCCATTATTGGCATGCTACTGCAGGTAATGTTTCCATTGTGTACTTTACAGTCACTGAAAAATTCCCTTCCCTTTCTGATAACGAAAAGCATGCTAGAAAGTCTTGCATTTTTGTCCCATAAATGAAGACTTAGTAATTCCTTGGCTTAAAGCTCTATATAATCTACATTATTGGTGATAAGTACCAAGCTTGACATTTCATGGCTGTAATTTTTTTAAAAATTGAAATTCTCAAAATTTAACAAAATCCCGTTTTATGGGAATGCTCCTTAGAAGTCATTTTGTTCAACCCCTTTGTTTTAAAGTTGAGGAATCTGAGGCCTGTATGAGAGTTAAGAGAACTTTCCCCATGTCTCATAGGTAGGTAGAGGTAGAGCTGGAGCTAGAAATCTGCTTTCCTGATTCTAGTTTGGTGTCTTTTCTGGTCACTTTGTAGAAAAAAATATTTGTATTAATTTGACATGACTGAAACAATGAACATAAAATGCTGTTTAATAAGTGTATGTGAAATTTTCTATCATAAGCTTGTATTACAGGCTACTGTTGAATAGTCTCATGTATATGTTTGCTTTTAGTGTTTAGGCTAGAAATCCCCACCCCCTCATTGGTAATAAACACTATGAAATACAGTGTATTTTTAGATAGGCATTCTACAAAATGCATTATGCAGTGGTTGGTTTTGAGATAGATTATAGTCTGGGTAGCATCTGCAAAAAGAAAAAGTGTAAGTGGGCTTCTTAATTGCTTTACAGATCAGGAGACTTAATTTCTGTTCCTTTTAATTGCTGTATGAAATGTGATCAGGTTATTTTACTACCACTGGTTATTTTAAGAGTCCAACTGTATTGACTGATAACAGATTAAATTGTCTGTCTTCATTCCTTACATGTTTAGAAATTGTTGTCTGCCTGCTTACTTGTATGTGTAAGCATGAGGGGAAAACATTGTTGCTAATACTGAAATCACAATCAAGAAACGAAGGCCTTAAGTTCATATGTGACGCTAAATGCACTTACCTTCATTCTTTCTATAACTAATTACCTTAACTTTTGCCCATTCTTGTATTTACAAGAAGCAAATTTAAGGGTTATATTCTAAGTGTGTAACCTTTAAAAAAGTGACACTTGGAAAAAATATGTATCAAATTCAGAAATTCTGGTCAAAGAAAAAATAATACTAATTTCTTCAAGTATCTTGCTCAGAACTTCTAAAATTAATATTATCTACGCTGGGAATTACTTTTGGGTTGTAATCATTCAAAATACGCCACTTCAAAAACAAGTTTTATCAGCAAGGCAAAAAAGAAGAGTTCTTTCACAGTATAATCCCAAATTGTGATCTTTTGCCACTTTAAAAGCAATCAACTAACAGCTTTCCTAGAGTTTGCACATTCCTATTCTGTGATTTGGTGTGTGGGTAGATTTTTAAAAATTGACCTTTATGAGAATTAGGGGAAAATGTTTACCATATGGAAAAACAACAAAATAAGAAGGTAAATGATCTTTATTTTCTAGCTTTCAAAGGAAATTAAACTGTTCTGTGAATAAATAAACTGATTAAAAATGTAGTGATGTGTCATTTTCCTTTAAAAAAAACGCAACAAAAAAGTAATGTTATTTCAAAAGATTGTGATGGTTTGTATGTTTATGTTGTGTTAACTAATAATAGCCAGTTGTTGTTGACTGGGCGTTGAGTTCTGATGACAGATAAGATTTTTGTCTAATCACCGAGAGGTTAATTGCTTGTTAGTGGGAAATTGGGATCAGCTGGTGCAGTGCCACATTCACTGGCCCACACTGTTGGTAGGAGCCTTGCTTCTGTAGAGTGCTGTGCAGGAACAGTGGTGCCCAACCTGTTGGGGACTGGTGCAAAGAAGTTTGGACATTCATCCTTAAAGAAAAAGAACCTTTTATCTTCCTGTGTTTCTGATTGTAGAAATAATCATGTTTGCATTTCAGAGAATATGAAAACTACATTATAAAAAAATAAAAAATAATGCCAAATCCGACATCCAGCAGTATCAATTTTTATGAACATTTCCCTATAATCATAAATTATAACTCTGTATCCTATTTTTTTCATTTAATTCTCTAGTTTATTGAAAACCAAGTGTGACTGTAAAATACGTTGCTTTATTTTTATGATCACCTTAAGATCATGGATATTTTATTTATAATGTAAAACTTGATTGGCCAGGTAATTCTTTTTCTAGTTAGGCATATCAATATTTCTTTTGTTTTAAAACTCAGTCCTGTTTTCCAGTTGTTTATGTATGTAATACCCATCTTGAAAGAAGGTGAAGTGAACTATTAAGATAACCTTTATTTTTATTGGTATTCAACTATAGTACATTAACTCATGTGATGAATTTAAGTGATGCTTGAGCAGTACCTGTAGAAAAACGATTCATCTGGAGTGGATACCTGGCATGGTCATTTGTTTTTAAGCTCTACTTTTAATCTGCAGCCAGACAATTGCTTTATATTATAGGCTTTTAAATGTCAAAGCTGGATACAAAATAGGTTTAAGCAAGGCTTTAGTCCTACAGCATAGGAAGCTGTGTTTTCAGAATTCTTTGTATATTAATCTTTAAAAATAAGTTGTAGGAGTCACTTTTAGTTATTGCTTAATGCAAGAGCTATCTTTGTAAAGTTAGAATACCAGTAACGTTTTAAACTTGTAAATAAGTGAGCTGTCTGTATGAAAATAAATGATTTAAGAAATTTTATGGGCTCATTTTTAATTACCACTTAGTTTAACACCTAAAGTGATTATCTTTATCCACCTACGAAATTAATTTTGCCCGTTATATATTTCTCAAAGTAATAGATGGTTTTCAAGATGCTTATTACCACCTGCTATGTATTTTATGTCAATTCATTTAGTCATCTAGATCCTATGAAGTAGGTACTGTTCTTACCTGTATTGTATAGGGTGCAGGGTGGCAGACTGCTTTAGAGAGGTTAAACATGCTCAGATTTACACAGCTTTACATAACAGGACAGGAGTTATGTAAAGTTGGATCCTGATAGTCTGATCCATGCTGTTAACCATTGTAATCTGCCATGCAAAGGAAATGACTTGTACCCTGGTCCAAGTCAAGTACTGTCTTCACAAAAAATTGTTAGGTAATTTTGTCGCTTTTTAGTTCACTTTAAAGGCAGTATTTAAAACTGATATTTCTTTGTGAAGACTTGGTCTTAAATTTTCAGGCTTTTTTTCCTCGCCATTATCTCTAAAACAAGTGAGATGAAATAAACTGCCCGTTAGCAATACAGCTCTTGAACAAAGTCAACGTGAACATTAGTAAGCAAATGTATGAATGTATTATATCAAGGAGGCTATAGAACTTAGAGAAATGGTTTATGTAACTTCAGGGCTAGAGAATTTTGATCATTCATGTTCTAAATTCTTGATACTACTTATGATTCTACAAAGAACAGGATGTGAAATATACTTAAGAACCTTAAGGGAAAAAAAGATTTTTTATAAGTTATTGATACCTAAGTTCCAAAAAGTTATGAAGAGTTGGAATTGCAAGTACTGTTGCACATTCCAGAATAATATAATTCCTCATTTTAGCACATTCTTTATTTCAAGAAGTAGAGGTTTGTTAGAAGTTATATAAAGAGTTTTAATGTAGTGTTACAGTAATATAAAAAGGCAACTTGCTCTTTGTGTGTTATTTTAATCCAAATTGTATATCCTTAAATGTATAATATGTAGATAAGTATGTGAGGGTGTGTATCATACTACTTTGAAGTAAATTTAGGGAAATATTTCACTTAAAAATTCAACCTAAAGATAAACTTTTGATAATGAAAAGTTGTGTTGCAAAGTATTCCTTGAGTGCTTTTGTGTACTTTGCCATCAAGTTCTATGAAATTATTGAAATAAAATTTAGATTTTCTTTGAAAAGTCTAGTGATCATGTTTAATTCATCACATAAGTGAACTCATCTCCCCAAGGGAAAAATTCTCTTTCACTTTGAGTACTTCCCTTCCCCCACCCCCCCAATTGAATTTGTCAACTGGGAAATTTACTTACATATGTTTTAAGAAAACATGGTTTATTACCAAGATTCTACAGTTTGCAACTAGGAAATACCTTGATAAGAGTCTTAAAATTGAAAAAAAAAAAAGTCTTATAATTGGATAAAGTGGTTCCTTTGTAAAATAAGTGGTGGTGGAATGGAAATTTCAGGGAGATAAGTATATTGAATGTATACTGAAAGGTTTTCAGCATGAACTTCAAAGCGCTAAAAATTTGTGCTAAAAATTATTTGCATTGATTGCTATGCCATATGAGGCCTACAGCTACCATTGTGGAGTATTTAACAAGTCTTGTAACATCTCTGTATTTGGTTGAGATGTTAAATGTTATATGTGTTCCCCACAAATAGTGTTTAAACTACTTAAATATGTAAGCAAATTTTTTCCATCCAATGATTAGATTTTTTAACTCTTAAAAAACTGCATTGCAGATGTCGATAGAAATATAGTTTTATGTTTAAATAATGTTTCCCATCCCACAATTGGGTGGGTATAGGTGGACTGTAGTGCCTGCAGAATGGTGTTTTCTGCTACTTTGTTTTTATTTTCATTATCAAGTTTCCTCCAGTCTTCAGAGTTTTCTATGTTTGCTTTGGATATTTTCCTTTTAAAGAACAAGTCATCAAAGATAATGGTAACTGAAATCCCCTTAATCCTCTCCAATCACATTTTCCTTTGTCAAACCACTAACCTGAAATTTATGCATATCATTCTTGTTCCTGCATCAATACTAGTATTTACACGTGTATGTAATAGTATATAGTGAATTTTGCATGTTTTAAAATGTCCTTTACACATAATTTTATTTCTATAGCTCTACCCTCACCTAAAAGTTCTTATTTGGAAGTCCCCATACTTCGAAGTATATCCCTGGGGGGAGAGGGTCTTCATATGTGTTTCATGAACTAATATACCATTTTCTGCTCTACCAGCTTGGACCCTTGCAGTGATGTTTTCTATTGATGCCAGTGCTAGAATTGAAATGACACCAGTACCTACAAGGGCCCTGCCACTGCTGCTGAAGCTGCATGTGGTGGTGGTTTGTTCTGGGACTGAGATAGGAAGGCTGGCCAGACAAATAAGAGCCTGTATGTGTGACTATGTGTGTGTGTATACATGTGCACATCCTTTATGAAGAGATGAGGTGTGTGAGTACATGTGAGATCTTTATGTTCCTGTGTATCCTTGCTTTATGTGTTTATGCCTGTGCTACAGATTTGTGTGTTGGTGTGACGGTAGTTTTTCTTGCATGTTTTGAAAATGGAGAAATGTCACATAAAAATAATGGAATTCTTACTTTTGAAAAATCCCCCCAAGATTTGGAACACAGGACTTGCATTCCCATAGGCAACAAAAACCTCTGTTCAGTTTTATCTGCAATTCCCATCACTTCTTGTTATAACCTTCTTAGTTACCTGCACAATCCCTGTATTCATCTGAGTTTGTGAACCTGGTTTAGATACTCATCACCTTACTAACATTGAGTACTTGTCCTGTACTGGACACTAGTGAGAGTGGAGGTGGGATAAGGTGATACCAGATTGGAAATTAGTTCTGGACAATGGGATCTAAGGGGTCCTATTATTGGGAGGTGAAAAACAGAGACACTTAGACCTAGTCAACAGATGATTAGGTCCAGAATGTCCAAAAATGGTCATTTGAAACCTAGGCATGAAGTTTGAGGAGCACTAAAGACTATAATAGAGTAGCTATTGTGTGCCAGGATACACACACACACACCCCTCCCTTTTAGAACCTTTCCAACTTTTTAACAGAGGAAACAAACTTGGAGTAATAAGTTTGCCCAGGCTTACTGTGGTAGAACAAAGTCTTGGGTCCTTCACTGTGCCATGCTGCTTTTGAAGAAAGAAAGGCAATGATACTGTGAAATTGACTAAGGGTGTTCAATATCAATGAGACCTTACTTTGGACTCAGTCACTGGGTACTGGGAGTTTACATTGTTTCTGCTTTTCAATTTTGGTGTCAAGAATAACATCTAAAGCTTATTACACACTGCACTAGTGGCTAGGAGTTGGGGTGTGGTTGCAATATGGTTCAAGAATACAAGGTATTTTGAAATTCAGGCTCTTTATAGGTGGCCTTTCAACAGGTTAACTTACTTAGATGGATGGCTATATAAATGGTATTTAACATAGTTTCAAGCACTAAGCATGAGTATGGGAAGGAAGCATATTAAAGTGGTTATGAGCGTGGGGTCTGGTGTGACACTAGGTTATGTAACTTCACTAGTTAGGACCTTGGGCATTTTATTTCACTGTGATCCAGCTTTCTCCTCTAAGACAGGATAATGCCTACTCTACTGGGTGTGAAGGGGATTGAAGGATACAGCACCTAGAGCAGAGCTCAGCACAAAGCAGATGCCCAGCAAATGTTAGCAATGACTTATGTACATATAAGGTGGACAGTTGGACAGTTGACTGATTACTTGGGGTAAAAATTAACAGTATATTTAGACAGTTCTGCAGCTGTAGGCATCTGTATGCACCAAAAGAACCTGTAGAGGCAGCAGGATGTATGCAGTGTGGGTTTTGGAGGGTAGATGAACTTGTCAGATTCGGGTGGCAGCTCTGTCCTTGAACACAGGGTGGAACCTCTCCAAAGTGCAGCCTCCTCCTCAGTGTCGCTGCCTGGTTTTCCACATGTCTCTTTTGTAACTTTGTAGGGTTGTGATGAGGACTGTAAAACCTATTTTAAAGAACCTTGCATAGTTTATGGTACACAATAGACATTAAAATTGCATTTACTTTGTTCTTTAATCGTCAAAAATATGGCAAGAATTTAAGTTTTAATAGCTGCTTAATGGTAATGGATGATTTTGAGTTAGAAAGTGAAAACATGTTAAGATTTAAAGAAGGAGACTATTTTTCAAGGTAGCAGCCTGTGTTGTGATATGTTTTAAAAAAAATATTTTTATTGATTTCATAGGAGGGAGAG